TCTTTCTTTCTTTCTTTCTTTCTTTCTTTCTTTCTTTCTTTCTTTCTCTATTTGTGTATGTGTATGGAAAAGCAAAAATTTATACTAATACCTTTCGCTCTAGTTCAACTCTGCAAGGTTCATTCTTGTCTCCCCCTTTCTTTTGTTGTAATGTCTTTGTCCAACAGTGAAAAATCTGGCTCTCATTAGATATCATAAATTCGCTTACCTGTTCGATCTTAGTGTACACATAAAATAGTTACAGAATTGCTAACCCATACCCCTGTGAGAAACACATTTACTCACTAGGGCACAGTATTTGTATACAGCTTTTTTTAAATCTTTACGGTATCCAAACTACTGTTGTTCAAAGTTCACTTGGCAAGTTATTTTTTTCCTGACCCCCTTCAGTCTGGTTCCCTTATTTGTTTGTAATACTGTTAGGTTTGTTACTGCCTATATTCCATTTTGAATTCCTGCATGTATTGGTTGGTTTTGATTATTTATTGCGGGGATAGGAATATTACTGATTCTAAGAGTCAAAGCTATACAAAAAGGCATCTTACTTGGTTTAATAAGTCCAAAAGAGAACTCTTGATTTTCTTCCTCAAACCTGCTTTTCTTTTAAGCTTTCCCATCTCTGTAAGTGGCACCTCCCCCAAACCATATCCAATCCTTCCACATTAGGGAGTCCTACTGGTTCGAGTGCAAAATGTATTCCTAATACTGCAGCTCTAATCTAAGGTGTGTTTATTTCTAGCTCCGACTTCTGCAGTAGCTTGCTAACTTGTCTCTGTATCCATCGTTATCCTCTTTATAGTTCCTTCTCTGCAGACCAGCCAGAGTGATCTTTTAAAAGTGCAAATCAGAGACCATGTAAGCAGAATACAGTGCAGACCCCTTGTCAACCTATAAGACTCTTTATGTTCTGGCCCCTACCTCCTTGGCTCCAGCCATTCCAGATGTATTTATCACCTTTCTGTTCCTCAGTTGCACAAAGTTCTTTCTCATCTCAGGGCCTCTGCACTTGGCCTCCCCACTCCCTGAAACACTCTTCCCCCAGATCTTTGCTTGCCTAATTGCTTTCTCAGACCAAATCACTGCCTGGGAGGGGCCTTCCCTGAACACTCTTGGCTAGATGAAGAGGTAACCTCTACTCCCTGAGCACTTTGTGTCCCATTTTCCTGGCTTATTTTTTTCTTAGTGTTAATGGTTTGAATTTTCCTTGTTTATGTGTTTACTTATTTTTTATTTGTCTTCATTATTAGAATATAATTTCTGTAAGGGCAGAGGCCTTTCTCATTTTGTTCACTGATAAATTCCCAGTGCTAGAATAATCCTTGGCCCTTTAACAAGCATTACATATTCTTCAGTGAATGGGTGAATGAATTGGATTAAATGGAAACACTAGCAATATTTTATATACCTGTACTTTTACTGTTTGTCATTTTGATTAAGCCATAGTTTTTAATGGATTTAATGGTCTTTTTTTATCCCCCCTCTCACCTAGCCATGTACATCTTCATGTGATCAGCCAGGATTTTGATTCTCCTTGCCTCAAAAACAAAAAACATTGGAATTCTTTCAATACAGAATACTTCATAGAATCGCAAGGTAAACAGTGCTGTTTAGTTTTCACGTTTGTTTCATTTTCTCACCTGTTCTTATATTTGCTTTAGTTGTTTTCCTAGATAATAACCTGGCCTCAAAAGCCCATGTACAACTTTGTGTTCCCTATAAAGATTCACCCATTAAAATAAACTGGATTATTTGGGTTCAGTAGGATTGCCACTTTGCTGTGAGCAGCCTTCTTGGTGGGGTTAGAGGGTAGAGATCTAGAAAGCTGTTATGTCAGAGTCAGAAAGGTGTTTTGTTCTAACAACAGGGGCCTTAAAGGTTGTACTGAGAATTATTGGAGTTCATAGACATGAAAGCTCTTAACAGTTGTCTCTTCTGCCATCAGCTGGGTAGGGGCTTGGGGGCTGCCTCATGTGAGGAGTGGTTGATTAACAGGGGAAGGCTGTGTATATATAGAAGGAAGCATTTCCCAGGGTATGTACTGTGGAACTTCAGTATGCTGGGATGTTAATGATGGCAGCTACCACTGACCAAGGGCTAACCAAGGGTAAAGCACTCTGATATAAGCTTTTGATGTAATAATATGGATTGCTTACAGTGTGTCCTGAAGGAATGTAATTACCTCAAAAACAGATTGCTCAGATTTAGAATCTGATTCCCAGCAGTGAGTTTAACCTCAAGTTTACTAGCTTTAGGATACCTGGCATATTTTTATGTGGAGTCAGAGTTTCTTTTCTGGGGGGTATCTTGTATTGGATTTCTAGAGTAGCTGGGCTCTGAACTTTTTTCCTTTGCCTGCAGCTGTGATAGAGATGGTACAGACCGCTGGCAGAGTGAGTGTCCGAGATGGGATGCCTGAGCTCTTGAAGCTGCCCCTCCGTTGTCACGAGTGCCAGCAGCTGCTGCCTTCCATTCCTCAGCTGAAAGAGCATCTCAGAAGACACTGGCCAAAGTGATTCTGTGGAGCCTGAACTTTTGCAGCAGGTGTGGCTGATTGTTTAGAGCAAATTTCTGGCACCTGTTCTGGATTGCTTGTGAACTTTTATTTCTTGAATTAAAACATGCAGCTTCCCCCGCCCAAACAAAGCTTCTTCTGTTCCTGAGTGGCTCCAATATGGGATGACCTGAAATAGTTCAAGAATTAGGAATTTGGGGTTGTTTTGGATGTGTTCTCTGGTGATGGTGGCTGGGACAGGCCTGAGCCCCGATCTCCAGGATCCATGTCAGGTCTGACTCACGGGGAGCAAAGCCATGTTCACACTGACCTAATGCAAGATATGGAATCAGAGAGCAGGCTATATATTTCTGTTCTGTACATTTAATCCTTCCTCCCCAGAGGCACGTGGTACCCTTCATTAGAGCAGCTCGAGAGGTCTGGTATTTAGCTTAAAGGCACTAATTGGTCTTGTTCTCTGATCTTAATCTGTTCTGTAATATTCTTTCTCTTTCCTTTCTTTTTTAATTTAATTTAATTTACTTATTTATTTACTTATTTATTTGGTTTTAAATCCTCAGGGTTTTTTGTTTTTTTTTTTTTTTAAATTTTCATCCAAATTAGTTAGCATATAGTGCAACAATGATTTCAGGAGTAGTGCCCCTTAGTGCCCCTTACACTTTTAGCTCATCCTCCCTCCCACAACCCCTCCAGTAACCCTCTGTTTGTTCTCCATATTTAAGAGTCTCTTATGTTTTGTCCCCCTCCCTGTTTTTATGTTATTTTTGCTTTCTTTCCCTTATGTTCATCTGTGTCTTAAGGTCCTCATATGAGTGAAGTCCTATGATATTTGTCTTTCTCTGACTCTTTCCTTTCTTCATGGAGAAACTAGTTTCTTCTGTTCCTTTCATTCCTTTCTATCCAAAACCATCCATGCTTCCTTCTTAGGAAGTGTCTCACCAGTACTTATTTACTCTGAGCAAACAGGCTTGGTGAGGGGGTGGAGAGATGGGTTTTTTCCCCTAATATCAGGGGTTCCTGGCTGATGAGGAAATACTCGGCCAAATGTTTGTTCATCAGGGTTCAGCTGTCAAGCCTTCTTGCTGGCCTGCTTGGATCTTTTGTCTGAAAATAAAGTTATTTGTTTAGGTCAGCTCTCTTAGGTAGTTGAAAATTATTGGGAGTTCAGGTAATACTCACAAACTCAGTTCTGATGCATGTAGAGATCATTGTTAACTGAAAAGTTGCATAGAACCCCATAGCTTCATTTTTTACTCAGAACAAATTTGGATGTCACTGTTGGAGCAAATCTGTTTTTGGATAATGTCAGAACTAAAGGTAAAAGGAAATCTAAAATGTTGCTTTTGATTGCATTGGTGATCCATTTGAGGATGTGGCTCTTTTTGCTCTTGAGTTTGTTAAAAAAAATAAAAGAATACCCTTAATAATAACTTCTCTCTGGAGAAAACCAATTTGTGGAGACCGTATCTGACTTCAATCTTTCATAAACAAACAGAATGCTACAGTGGTTTTTTGGTTGAGCATGGGTATAGTCATATAGTCCTAAATAGTAGTAATTAATGATTATAGCAGCTAACATTTGTTCAACTCCTGTGCATCTAGGCATTATTCTAATACTTTTTTCAGATTATCCCATTTCTCACTGTATATAATTCTGTGGGGTAGGTATTCTTGTTATGACCCTTTAAAGGGGAAGAATTTAATAATCTGTAAAGGACCCTGGGCTTCAAAGTTGGTCTTGGTTCTGGGGCATCAAACTCATTTTCCCTATTAGTTGAAGAATATAAATGTATTACTAACCAGTAGGGGCCATAGACTCATAGGGGCATTGGGCCTGTGCTGACCAAAAGCTCTTCGTGGCATTTTATCATTGATTTCTCTGAGGACAGTCAGTTCCTCTAAAGCCCCTTTTCCACATCTGATGCCTTAAAGCCCCTAGAAACTGTTTCTAAAGGTATACTCCATGGATACCTGAGATCAGAATTGCTAGTTTCCTTCTACAACATGTAAACACTTGGGCTTTATCTCAAAACCACTGAATCACAATCCTTTGGGCCTAGGAATCTGTATTATAAAACATTCAGGATGACCGTTTTCATACTAAAGTCTGAGAACCACAATATAAATGAACTCTGGGCTTCAAAGCACTTTGCATTTCTGAAAGTTCCAGATTAGACTGTCCCTGCCAGGATACACACACAGTTTCCTGGTTGGTTTTCTGGGCTAGTTGCAGGCCTTCCTTCCCTCTGCATGGTCAATTTTATTTCAGGATCCAGGGAGACTTTGGGCATTAGATAAGGGAGAATGACTACTTATATGGACCAGCCCTTTGTTTCTGCAGGATTTGGGGGAGGCCCCCTGGCCCCATGTTTTGTTTTTGTTTTTGTTTTAATTTTTAAAATTTATTTAGAGAGAGAGCAGGGCAGGTATAGAGGGAGAGGGAGAGAGAAAGAATCCCAAGCAGGCTCTGCACTGACAGTGTGGAGCTCGATTTGAGGCTCAAACTCATGAACCTGAGTTCATGACCTGAACTGAAATCAAGCCACTCAGGCGCCCCTGGCTCCAAGCTTTTTGGGACCAGGCCTGGTGCTGATGACTTCCTTTTCTTTTTTCTTTTTTAAAATATTTATTTATTTTGAGAGAGAGAGGGAAAGATCATGTGCTCACATGAGGGGAGAAGGGCAGAGAGAGAAGGAGAGAGAGAATCCCATGCATGAGATCATGAGACCCAATCATGAGATCATGACCTGACCCAAAATCAAAGTTGGGTGCTTAACCAACTGAGCCACCTATGCACCCCAACTGTTTCTTTTCAATGGCTCCCATCCTTTCCTGCTCAGACATCAGTCACAGAGGCTTGGTCTGGGACCTGTGATGAACTCAGCTAACCTTAGGCTCAGAGCCTATATATTTTTCGTCTTCTGGGTCTGTCTGAGATATCCAGGTACAAATGGTCCTTTCCAGGACCGGACCATACTTGAGATGGTCACTAAGAGTCCTTGCAGGTTCAGGGATGCTTCCTGGAGTCTGGCATCTGGTAATCAGTCACATACACTGGATATGGCTGGATGTCAGAGATTCAGCATTGATCTCTGTCAGAATTGGCCTAACTGCCTGTCTCTGTCCCAGTAGCTACAACTTGGAGATCTCCACAGAGCTCTGAAGATTCTTCCATAGACTAGATTTAAAAAAAAAAAAAAAAATGATGAAGGCCATGAAGCTCACTCCCCAGAATAATGTATACACATTTTATGTACCCTTAAAGTGCTTCCATGGACTCCCTAAGGGGTCTGTGAACCCCAACTTAACTTCTGCTCTGAAGGAAAAAGTCACCACTTTGCATGGGAGCTTAGGAGGTGTCTGGGATCCCCTCCTATGGAGGACTAGGGGGAGAGAACTTATCTCCAGGATATCCCTGAGATACTCTCCTTTGGTCTCATTGCTCCTTCCTCAGCCCTTTGGTGCATGCACATCCTGGGGTCTTCTGACTAGAGATGGAATTCAGGCCCAGGAGCTGCTTGCTCTAGTTTAGCCACCACATTCAGGCAGGAATCTTGGGAAATGGAGAAATCTTCAGCAGGTCTGAGGGGTTCAGGAACCCTGACTGGCCGACTTATCATGAGCTATCTAAAAGGCAGTGAATCTACATTACTAAAACCAGTCATCTGCAAAAATAGATCAGCTATATCATGAATGTATCCCAGGATAGTGGGAATGGCAGTATCTCATGGGTACAGTATGTTAACAGTACAAACTGTGCTGGATTCAGTAAGTAATCTCTGACTAAGGCAGAGATTTTGATGAGGCCTCAGCCAATGTACTTGGGAATTGCAGAACATTTAACTGAACTTCAGATAAGGTGCCCAGTGAACTTTTTAAAACTAGGTATTGGCAAAACAGTTAATTTTCTACCTAATCAACAATGTTATATAGTTTAGCATGTTGATATTAAAATCACAATGAGAATATTTGGTAAGAAACTGTAACCAAGGAGAGACTATATCACAGTGTATGTGATATATGATGATATATGTGATATATGTGAGATATAATGAGGGAAATGTTGAAGAGTGAGGTGACCACCTTTACATTCTTTGTTTAGCCAGGCTACCCTGTGACCTTGAACAACAGAAGTTTTAGAAGAACAGATGAGAAAATGAGGAGTCAGAAAAAGGACATGAAATATTGAGGTATATAGGTCCCATGCCACCCCCTCTCCCAAGTGGGCTATTGTTACATGATCACTAGAAAAAATGGTCTTACTTTGCCTATTTATCCCGGACTTATTACTGTGTTGTAGTTGGGTGGAGTCTTCTCAAGGTACAGGGCATAGTGGCATGAAAAAATAGAACAAATGCACATAACTCACATTTGTGACTCTAAGTTGTATTTCCTCCGTTAGGGACTATCCTCTTTTACCTTAGCCCCATCATACCTAGGCAAGGCAGCTGTTTTATTAAAATAAAATGGTTGAATATGGTTACTTCAACTCTAGCCAAGAAACCAGATTTAAAATGGAGTTCCTTTGTTGCTTAAAGAGAAGGTAGATATGATAACAGAGCTGAACTGGAAACCTGAAACTGAACAAATGAATGCTTTATATGAGAACATGAAGAGTAGACCTTAAGTAGTTTATGACAAATCTTAAGTCAGAGCTGGGGAAAAGGGCTCTCAAATTCCATTAGAATCTCTGAACGGGAGTAATCTACTCTTGATATCTTAATTTCTTAACTTTGTCTTTACTTCTTCCTTTCTTTTTAAAAATTTTTAACAAACTCTACCATAAAGGAATGGGTTTTGAGTTTTAGAGTCTACTAATGATTAGTGTTCTCATGTGTTATTAACATTATTTAGGCCATTGTTGAATGACTCATCAAATTAGAGATACACTCAAGTGCCTGAGTGTTCCTTTGTCAGCAGCTGCTGTCTACCCAAACTTTAGGGAAGGGAGTGGCCAGGATGTGGGGCAGTGGGAAAGGAGTTTAGACCTCTAGGATTCTGGGCCACTCACTGTTCAACTCTTTTTGCC